AAAAAAGAAAAAAAAACCTTTGAAAAGAAAAAAACCCAACTAAAGAAGGGGTTTTGCTTCGGGATAGGGAGGCCGGAGCTCCAAGGGCAGCTCAGTGGTGACTTCTCTCTCCTTGTTCCACCAGTCGCTGCACAGAGCTCTGCCTCATGGTCACAGGATGGCTGCTCTACTGCCAGGCATCACAACCTACTCCAGACCAAAGAAGGGCTACCAGCCATGGGGAAGGCTAGCCAAGACTTCCATTAAAAGGCTTTCCTGGAAGCTACACTAGCAAGTTCCATTTGCATGTCATGGGGATCAACTCATGTGACTCAGTTCTGAACAAACAGACACACGGAGTGTCTAGCTTCAAACATGTGCTAGCTTCAAACTCCATGTGGGTCGCCTTCAGTGTGGAGGAGCTTGTTCCTGTCTGGCCTCAGCCAGAAGCCCCGTGCAAATCACGAGTCCCCACCCAGGGTGGTTTATAGGAGAGATTTATTTGAAGAAATATTACAACATATAAAAACTACATAAAGTCTTAATTTCCACTCATACAGTGGTAGATTTGATATAATGCATAATAAAAAACTTTTAAAATCCAGAATGCACAAAGTACTGCACAATTTGATCACTAAATCATTAGTTGATAAGCGAACCTCACACAACAGCTTCATGTCAGCCAAGGCCACAAATACCATGTACCACACATGTGAACGGACAGATTGACATGTTAAAAACACAACATCAGTGCATGTTGGGGATTCCTGGTGCCAGAAACAGGGGTGACGGGAGGGCAGAACTAGTCCTTAGCAGCTTCCTCCTCCTTTATTTTAGCTGAAGGGAAATAAAAGGAGAAGTCACTCTGGGGAACACGCACGGTATCACGCTACATGACAGGTGAGGAACAGACATGGACCATCAGGAAATGTTAACGTACTGATGTAACAGCTGACCCAGTAAGCAGCAGAGTGCTAAAGGAACATTCATGGAGACTGAACACTCCTCAAAAGGTCCCAGGGGGTTCTAGACCCAGAGGCTCGAGTGAACAGCTGAGGCAGGCACCTGCTGAGCCAGACTCACGGAACAGGAGTGAGGGAAATGGCCCCAGGGCCAGTCCAGCAGCCAACCTGACCAAAGGCCTGCTGTGTGCAGCGTGCCTGCTCTAAGCACTCGACACGTGCAACTCAATCCTCACAGCAGCCCCTTCAGAAAGATGGGTGACCCACATGAGGCCCAGAGTCCAGAGCGGTGGCCGGCAGCTGCCCCTGCATGTACCCCCAGAGGGCGCTCAGGCCCCAGAGGAAGCCCAGCCCACCCCACCATACCTGAGGCACTCTCTCGGGCTTTGGCCAACATACAGAGCTTGATCTCCAAGCCAATGGCTTTGGCCAGGGGCGGCGGCACAGCATTGCCCACCTGCGGGAGGGGAGAAGGGCAATGCCTGATGTGGATGGCCAGGCCCGAGGCCCGGGGTCAGGTGTACTGCCGCCCCTGCTCAGACGGAGGACACCCTGGGCATCGCGCCCCTTGGGGAGGGGTTCTGGTCCTGCTCACATGGGCCCAAAGCCCTTCCAGCACAAGGTCCTCGGATCCTCCAACTGGCCCATCGTCCCACCCCACAGCCATAGTTCACTGGGCCTTTGAAGAGCTTCAGAAAGACTTGAGACAAAGACACATGGGGCTAGGCGCGGTGGCTCACGCCTGTAATCCCAGCACTTTGGGAAGCCAAGGCAGGTGGATTAGTTGAGGCCAGGAGTTCAAGACCAGCCTGGCCAACATGGCGAAACCTCGTCTACTAAAAGTACAAAAACTAGCCGGGCATGGTGGCACATGTCT